TAGGTTTTGTGGATAAGTGGTTTTTGGTTTGCCAGTCCCAGCCTTCTGTCTAGGGATCTCCTCTGTGGTTTTTATAGGTTGCTACTCAGATCAGATGGCACAGGGAGAGATAAGCATTGGCTTGCTGGGAACATATTACCAGTTACTGCCAGTACTTTTAAGTTCTAGTGACAGTAGCCTCTGTGTGTGCATGTTTTCTTTTATTATTTTTTTTCTCCTTTTTTTTCCCCAGTGTTTGGTTAAAGTATTAAGTGGAATACCGCTCTGTAACATATAAAGTAGTTCATTCTTCTCTGATAAAAAAAAAAAATTATAAAGTAAAAGAACTTATCTTTATTCACTTGGTTTGTTTTAAAGTATCCACTCATCAGAATATTAAAAATGGAATGGAGCATCTAACTGGGTCACTGTCAGGTGACCTCTGACTGTCAGGGTGCCTTTTTGAAGCCTTTCTTCTTGGAGTGACCGTCTTCAGTGATTTAACAGTCTGCATGCACAAGAGTGTGTTCGCTTAAATGCAGTGACTTTTTTTAGATATGTGTGTGACTGAAATGTCACCTTATTTCCCAGCACTGAGAAAGGGCATTGCTACAAGCCCTGGGTCCTGCAGTTCAGTAATTTTTATCTGCTGCAGAACTAATGCAGTCTTGTGGTAGGTGCAACTGCCACAGTCAAAACTCTGTATTTGTATCTCCAGCCTGCGTTAGCAGATACATGCCTGAAAACATGAATGGTCCCAGTGTATGTATATAATCCTCCTGAGAATTCTTTGCAAACTAGCAGGACTTTTTTTGCAACACTCTCCTAGTAATAGTTGTTGCTTGTGTGGTGCCTGCCACTACAAATAAATAATCACCTATGAGGAAAGGACATCAGGTGACTGGGTATTAAGAGAGGTTTTGTAGCCATTCTGATAGCAACAAGCTCAGATGCTATTAAAAGAAAGCTTTATGTATTGATAGAGTAACATGGAAGTGTTTCCATGGAATATCTTTGGTGAGTGGAAAAAAGAATTAGAATGTAATTGAATTTGAGCATATATCCAGAAATATATTTGTAGTTCAATTGTAAAACAGCAACTACTGACAAAAACAGGAGTAAGTTTCCCAGGTAAGGAATTTCAGATCATATACAGTGTTTCAGCATGTCTGAGGTTTTCTTACTGTGGCTTTGTGCTGTGCAGTAGTGTCATTTGCCATCATAGACAACGTATGGTCAAATGCTGAGAGGCGGAGGCTGTAGTCACATCAAACGTGCTCAAGATTACCAAGAGGATGTGGTGTCATTCCCATCGCTCATGTCAGAGTCATAAGTGCTCAAGCTATTTGTCCCCTTATGCTGATCAGCGGAACATTAAGGATTTAATGGCATTTGGCCCAACATCACTCAGCACGGGAAAAACCCTCTTTGCAGATGCTGAGGATGGAAGCAATCTGGCTCCTGAAGTTCTTTGGAATATACAAATTATATTAAGCAGAGTGTACATCTGGCAGAGGATTTTACTTTCCAAGGGACTATGGATTTCACTTGTCCTTATCACTTTTTTTCTGAATCTTTTCAGTTGTGCTGTATTATTATTGAGATGGGAACAAAACTTTCAGATGTAAGGAACTTTTTGCTTTGTTCACTTCTTTTCTGATGATTTCTTGTGTTCACTTTGCTTTTTGAGACTTACTGACATAACTCCACAAAAATTTCAGCTCAACTTGTCATGATCTTGAGATTTTTTTTCTTAAACAATAGTGAACACTTCACAGATCTTCATTTAATGGCGAGAATTTAGGATTGCTATTCCATGCATGTATCACTTTACGAGTATATGTGGTAAATATATATATTTTTAATGCCTAGTCACCCAGTCCCATGAAGACTTTCTGTAGTTCTTCACTATTGACATTGCATAGGCAAAATGACAATTTCTACTGCAGTCTACTTACTACTTTTAGACCATAGAGTACAGAAAGGTAACATGCTTCAAGCAATACTGTTTTGATTGCTCTTAACTTTTGTGGTCAGGAGCTGAGTAAATGCTATGTTAGAGAGAACTGTGTACCGTTTGATCTCTTACCCTGCAAGGGAACTTCTTAGCGTGGATCATCTTAATCATAGACTGAAGAATATTTTGGTTTTAGATGCACTGTCTATTTATATCACCACATTTTAGGATTCTACAAATTACTTGAATTGGTCTCATCATTAGAGAGAGAAAGGAGAGTTGGGAGAGTAGCTTATATATGCTTATTAGATCTGTACAAATACATAGCTAGATAGACACAGGGGAATATGTAATCCCATATATATTCCCTTTTTTTATATCTCAGCTGAAATTTTGCAGTTTATCATCCTCCTTTCTATGATTAGAACTTAGAGAACAAAGGTTAAATGAATCTACACTTAAATAATTTGATTGCATTTAATCTCCTTTTACATGTTTTATCTGTTAGACTGAGTCACTGGAAGTTGAACTTTCCTCTGAAAAAAAAAAAAGTGAAATTCTATCCTTTTTAATTTATGCTGAAATTAGGAATATGTCTCTTTATAGAGACCAAAAACGTGCAATAATGGAAATCAGTGAATTAAGAGGTTTTCCTAAGAAGATTAGGGCCAAGTTATTTAAAATATTTAAATCATAAACTGCTTTTGTGAGTAGTGAAATTTGACCACTTCAATTTCTTTTAAAATTCAGTCATAAAATGAGTTTTCAGGCTGTTAAGACTAAGGATGGTCTTGGAATGAGATATTCATTTTAAGTCACTTATGCAAATATTTTTGTTCTATGTAGATATAAAATCTTATTTTAAACACTTTTTTAGTAATCTGCACCTGCCACAAAACCAGTAAAATATTTAGATCAGAATATTTGTTGCAGTATTAAATATTTAAAAAGAAACAGCTGAATGAAATTCCATTGCTTTCTGAGGTAATGAAAGTTGTATAATTTCCCAATAGAGTTTTTCAGAGGAAATAAAGCAGCTGGTGATGCTCACAGGGCGGCTTCAGGAAAGGGACTTCTGTTTGAAAATGAGAAAATTGATGGCAAAGACTGGGGGTTTTTTTAAGGTAAAAGGAAAGCTTCAGTATTTCATTGGCCACTGATGCACTGGTGATCATAGGACAGAGAATAAATGTTTAGCCTCTTTGCCTGAAAGGCAACGTAGTTTTGATACATGCCCAGATTCTACAAAGTGGGGATATGGGCATGTGAAGGCAGACTGGATTAGACAGATTCATAAAAGACATCTGTCTGGATACTGAATTAGTGCATGGGGCTATTGCTGCTGCCTGGTCAACCATGCTGAAAAAATAAGAAATAAAACTGGAGCAGTTGAAGAGAAAACTACTGAGATGCCTGGGGAGAGAGTATTTTATCTTAACGGAGAGAACAAAAAGAATGTGACTTGTTTAGTCTACGAAATTGAGAAAGGGAATTCTGTAAAACTCATGCAGCAGGAGAAGACTGTCCAATAATTCTGAATTTCATCCACAATAACAGAAGCGGAAGAGTAGAGACAGACACATAAACTTGACAGCAGGGCTGTAGGAAAGAAGAAACTCAGATAAATGTTTAGGGGAGGAATATACTATCTTAAGGAGACATATTATATGATAGAATGGATTATATTGTTTAATCTGACAGTCCTACATATATATATCCATATATGTTGTGTTAGGTTCACTTCAGTGAGCATCAGTCTATTTTCCATGGCTGTTATGTCTAATAAAAGCTGACCTGTGAAGCAGTGCACTTGCCTGAACAGCAGAGAGGACGTTACTTTAGCAGAAGACAAGGGCTTGCAAAGGGTGGGTAAAATAACAGGGCTGACAGAGTTCTGTATATATACTGGCCTTGTTCTCTTCAGTAAATATTTCTCTAAGACAATATTCTATCAAATTTAGCTACAAGCTCTGGTAAAAGTATTTGCTCAGTTTTAGGATTTGTTTTCATTACCTGGAATAAGTTTTTTTTTATTTTTTTTTTAATTAAGTTGACTTATTCTTTTTAGTCTTCTTATCAGACCAATATATGCCATTCCAATATTATTTTGAAAAGTATATCTAAAAATTAATCTTTCATACTCTTTATTTGAAGTATTTTAATATATACTGTTTAATACTATAGCTCCATAGACCATAGCTCAGCAATTGGAAGCATATTCTCCATGTTAAACCTTAAATTTGGAATTCTGAACTCAATTTTTTTCCTTTATCCTACACCCTAATATTGTAATTTGGGGATTTAAAGCACGTGCTTGTGTTTTCTTATCTGCTGACTGTCTTTCATTGTGCTCTTTAAGGAAATTAATGGTGAAATAATTTCCCAGTAACAAAGAGCATGACAGAATGATACATAATGTAATGATGTTGATAAATGAGCAATATTAATCTTTTAAAAGTTATGTATCTGCTACAGACATCTCACACAATCCTGTGTGCATTTATCTCCCACAAGAGTTGGCGGAGTTCTCTTTTTATAGCGTTTCTTTACTGTCCTAGCATTTTCTTCCCAGCCTTTCTTTTGCTGTCTTCTGCATGATCTATCTGTACATTTACTTCACCGTGACTTACAGAATTTACTCTTTTTTTAGAAGCTTCTAGTACTGTTTCTGATTTTGAGTGTCTCTTATCATCGCATAACTCGTAACTCGCATAAGTTTCTTAAATGTCAGATCTTGTTTACAGAAGCTGAGATATGAGTTTGTTGTTAGTTTGGATGCTCCTGGAGTTTCTTTCTGAACCCCTTCTGTTTTCAGTAAAGACCTGGAAGGCTCTGTCATATTTAACTCTTTCTATCCAAAACACATGGAGACATGCCTCACACTCAGTATATTCAGGAGACCCTCACACACATCTTGGTACACACACACACACCCTTGTATTAAACAAATGCTGCATCTGTCACGCAAAGAGTAGATGAATGATACTGGTCTGTTTTCTCATAGAATTCTAAAAATGACTTCATGCTTATGCTATGTTCCTAAATTAGTTTGCTTTCCTTTAAGGTCTTGGCATTGACAACAGAACATCTCTATCACAGAGCAGTTCTTTTGCATGGGATGATACAGTTTTCAATATCTCCATGCATGCAGCGATTCGACATGGAAAATGGAAGTTACTAACTGGATATCCAGGTAATAAAGTAATTCCTATTCATCCAACATACCATATTCCGCTCTCCACCCCTCAACTCAATTTCATTTTGTTTAGTAAATGATAATTTCTTTTACATAATTTGTGGAGTTTTCAGAGTTTTGATCGTATGCAAGAATCAAGGGGAGGACACTTTTAAAATGCACACAAAAACCTTGTGACATCAAATAATATAAGTGTCTTTCATGGTTGTATAAAAATAAGTAGAAAGCCCATGAAATTACTTGCTCTGAAACTAAGTGACATGAAATTCTGAATATGAAACCTGGAACATATTGCCTTCCATTTTTTTACCATTTTAAGATGATTTCCTTTGTCAAACAGGTCTTGTAGAGATAGCCCTGGTCTAGATAGATTTGGGTGCTGGGCTGGAGTTAAAGAATGCAGGAACAACCACTAGCCTGTGACTTGACAAACAAACCGGTGATTTCCTTGATTACAGTGCAACTCTGCCTCTCCGCATCACAGCTTTCTATCTGAGAATTAACCCTTGGTCTGTTCCTATTTCTGTAGGCTGCAGTCACTGGTTCCCTCCACCATCTTTGTTCAATGAGTCAATGATTCAGTCATCTGATCCACCAACAAAGAGACTCTGGCTTTTTGATATTGTTCATGACCCTGAGGAGAAAAATGATTTGTCCGAAAAATATCCTAACGTGGTGAAGAAACTGCTCTCACGACTTCAGTATTACCATAAACGTTCAGTGCCTGTGTTCTACCCTGATGAGGATCCCCGCTGTGATCCAGCAGCAACTGGTGCCTGGGGTCCTTGGGTGTAGTGCAGAGCACAGCTCCCTGCAGAACTCACATGATTGGAATTTGATTTGTGGTCTCAGGGTGCTAGTCATGTATCTCTTATCCTGTTTTTTACAGTATTGTTAATTGTGAGTTCATTCCTTGAGTAATTGAGTCCTTCTTACCATCGTAATATGGTGGGAATCTTATTTCAGTCCTTCCCACTCTCTCCTTCTCAACAATCATACACGAAATGCTGATAAATTAGAAATCTTTTGTTTGAATATTCCTTGTCAACAAGATGCCTTTAAAGTAGAATGTTAATTCCGTCCCTGAAAGAAATTACTTCTGCTAAAAAGCTGCCATGAGTCATGACAACAGGATCATTCAGACTTCGGTTGTGAAACAGACTGATGCTTCATTTCATGCAGGTCCAGAAGACAAATTCTACCAGAAACTCCTATGTATCTGTAAAGAACAGAAGAAATGCAGCAGTTGGCATGATTTTTTATCTTTGATGTGCACTTCTGTCCAGAGAAGAGGTCGTAAATCTCCAATAATAAAAATAAAAATCTTACACTATACAGCAAAATCCCTTATTCATGTTCACTGTTAACATATGACTTTGGGGTAGAGAGAGATGATCAAAATGAGGACAGGGCTCCTGCGTGGAGGTACATTAACACATCAGAGAAGCAGGTGAACAAAAGCTTTCTGAAGCTCAGAGCGCAGAGTCCGCACTTGGAATGGCAGAACCTCCAGAACATGGCTTGGCCCTGCCTGGAGAGAGAGCATTGACGTGGGGAAGAACCTGGGATCCTGTTGCAGAATACGTTGAACAGCCTAGTAGTGAAGAAGACCAAGGACATATTGGTCCATAGGAGCAAGAGTGTAGCTAGCACATTGAGGAAAGTGATTATTCCTCTCTCTTAATCACTGGAGCACTGCATCACATTTTGGGCTTCTTCATACAAGAAAAAAGCATTGCTCTAATGTAGTGTAGTCATGGAAATGAGCACATGACAAATGAGGAGAGGGTAAAGAAGTGATTTAGTTTAGCCTGGAGAAGAAAAAACAAAAGGGAGAATGCTGTCTTCAGTGAGGAAAGGTGTAGAGAAGATGAATCCAGATTCAGAGGCACACAGAGAGAAGATAAGAGGCAACAGGCATAAGTTGTAATACATGGAGTTATAATCTGATATAAGAAAATAAAAATCTCACCATGAGGGTTGTCAAATACTGAGACAGGTAGTCTAGTGCAGTTGTGGTATCTCCGTCCTCTGAAATGTTCTAGATAACCCAATCTTAACTCTGAAGTTAGATCTAATTTGCAGATTGGCCCTCTTTAGGAATGTTTGGAGGAACAACCAGGGGAACAACCAGATGACCTTTAAAAGGTCCCCTCCAAAGGGCCTTTTCAGGCTGAATTATTCTTCATTGATTCTGTGATGAGCAAAGCCTTACTCTCTCTCAATGCCTGTCATTCTGGTGAGTATCCTTTCTGATGAGGGTTTTTTTTGTTTTTTTTTTTTTTTTTTGTAATTTTTATTATCCCAGTAGCAACTGTTTTCATCTTGGAGTGGGCTCTGAGCCAGGGGGAAACGAGGCCAAATGACTTGACTCGGTTACTCACCAAATTGATGCAAGCAGATCAACCCATCAGCTCTGTTAATGTTGTAAGCCCCTGGCGCTTGGCCAGAAATCCAGCTCTGCTTTTTGGTGGCCTTAGCCAAGTTCTCAGGCTGCAGAACCCTAGCTACCATCATCTCCAGAAAGTGGGAACCTGACTGCATGTTTTCAGAATTGGGACTGAATCCTGTGACTGACACTGACACTTTGCACACCCAGTTTTCCATTCAGGAGACATCTGCTAAGTGTTAGCAAGCACACTCAGAAAGAGACAGTCATCTTGACAAAAAACAAAAGTGCTAACTGCAAAAATAAAGCACAGGAAAGATGGAAATTCAGGAAACCAAAAACATTTATTAAAATAAACAGAAATCCATGTCTTATGCTACAGCTTATTTAAGCCTAACTTGCCTTTCCCACCTTTGATGCTTTCCTACGTATACTAGAAGGGGAGGCAAAGTTCTCCAAATGCGTGTTCAGCTGTTTATCATTTTCCCAGAGAGTCATGTTTTTCTCTCTGCTTTGTCACTTCTGTCTCTTTATCCCAATATTTTTCCATTCTCTTTCTTTTGTGGGCTTCAGCGTTGAAGATGGGTAAAGAAAGATGGACTGGGAGAGAATAATTTTCCTATGCTGGGCAAGCACATGGTTTAGGCTGACATGTCTTGGAAGCCTGTGTCAGACCAAGGCTCACCCTATCTCTGTCAGTGATTGAAAGCACATGTCTGCACAGCAGTAAAGGGCAAGCATATGTGTTAAGTTCTCCAGATTGCCTTTCATATTTTAGCTGTGCCTCAGAGAAGAACGGAACCTCAGTTATTTAAATTCTGTGTATTTAGTAGCCCTCAGTGTAAACTCTAGTATTCATACAGGCTTCTTCTATAGCTGGGAGTTCCACGGGCTGACTACGCAACATATGAAGTCATCTCTGTTTATGCTCTGCGTCTGGGCAATTTGAGTTTTCACTGGTGAAATACCTATGGTGTGACAGAAGTTCCTACTATATCATGTTTAGCAGCTATCATGTAGAATTTATATAACTTTCGTATTCATGTACCTTTATAATAAAATATAACAAATTTAATAAATGTAATAATTTATCTTTATAATAAAAATTGAAATTTGTATGTTCTATCTACAAATTGGTACATGGCCACCTCTCCTTCAATTTCAAATACTGTTATCAATTTTTTTTTCTATTTTGGCTTCACAGCACAACAGCATTTCACTCTCAAGATCCAAGCAATTCTTTGAGATAACTTTGTGAGACGATCTCTGTTATCTGCAGACCACAGGTAGGGATCAAAAATGTAAGCAACAGAACCTTTTTATTAGCTATTGCGTTGCCTTGACAAATCTCCCATTTTTCTTCAGTAGCTCTAGAAAACTATTGTACTTCTCTTTCCTAACTGATACAGTATATCTATTTTATTCCAATATATTTGTGCTAATTTATAGCTTTTACCTTTTAATTCTGCAGCTTTAATCTTCACATTCTGATTTTTCGTGACATGTAAGTAATCATGGAATTAGTTTGGAATGTGTGGATTTGAAAGAATGAGGTGTCACTATATCTCATGAATTTAGTCGTTTTTTTTTCTTTTGTATTTTAATTAGCTGGGTTTTCAAATGCCTTTTTGAAATAAATCATCTAAGTAGCAGAGATTTCATCTATTTAGTTTTCATTTCCTCATTCATTCAGAATTTGCTGGTTAATTTATTCTGGTATGGATGGAGATGGAGAGGTTGACAGCCATTCCCCAGACCTAAGGAAACTAGCTCCAATAATTTACATTCTTATCAGTCTAGAGGAGATTGGAATTTTGTGTATGTGTGAATATTTATTTAGAACTCTGTCAACATTAGTAGATATGAAAGACTTAAAAACTACCTGCTCTTGCTTTATATCACATATGACAGTTTATAAAAGCTATTACAGGATGTGATTGCCACAATACCCGACTGGACCTAGGAATGAGAGCCCCAAGTCACTGTGTATCATGCAGTGTTGTCTATTCACCTTACATGAAGAAGGATGTTGGCTTACACACAGAAGTGGGAATTTTTCTCAGTAATACTTACAGGTACTATTTTTTTGTGTTGTTGTTTAATTTAATGGAATAAAACATATATCAGAAAAACCAACATTTTTTAAAAACCCAAGTAATTCATAGTCTTGAGTTCTCCCATCAATATCAACTTCTTGGCTAAAGTTAGAAATGGTCAGAGAACTTCCAATTTCAATTTCAAAAGTAAATAGAGTTGTTACACATCCTTTTTTAAATTTTCTCTCTGTCCTGCAATCTGTATTTTATTATCTTACTGATACAAGTCCATCTACTAGCAAGAGACTGTGGTATGTCACTATTTCCTGTGGTTTACAATTCATCTTCTATTTCCCCTGCTTCCTAACAAAGAAAGGTTGTGTTTTAAAATTCATTATTTTCTCGGCAACGGAGTATATAAGAGTATATAATTATTTCTTTTAACTCCTAATTGTTTGCCCTGGGTGGTCCTCCATAAAATATTTTAATTGAAATGGATTAGAGGGGGAAAAAAAAAAAAAGAAGTTGGCTGACACATTCATGTTGGCATCGGCGGAGACTTGTATGCCATTTAGTTGTTTCAGATTGGGAAGTACAGAATTCTTTATCCATTTTGTGGTTACATGAGTAGCATTCAAAAATGCAAGTATTTTGAACTCTCTAAATAACACTTCATTTCATCCCTTTCCAAGTTCTAAGATTCAATCTTAATCTAGCAAAGTTCTTAGTATTTCAGATTGGAAAGTATTTTTGAGTTGTAAAAATAATTTAAACTTTAGAAAAGTAGAACAACTATGTTTAGGAGGAATGCTTATATGGGCTATACAGTCTGCTCTTTACAGGAACACGTACACAAGCAGGGGAAAAATGCTTTTATAAGCAAAGCACAAGATCTGAAGCTTTTCTTGAATCTAAGGCTCTATATTTGTTCTGTAAATTATTTGTTGAGAGAATATGGACTTCCCTAGAAATGATAAATGAGGCTCGCATGAAAACCTAAGTTTAATTATTTTCAAAATATCTAAACATAATTTCAGACCCTTTCAGGCTGTGTGGATTGGAACATGCACTAGCTGTCTTTGTTGTTTTTTTGGAATTTGCCTCCTCTCACTCCTCGTGGTAAAATAGCAGTAATGCTTCTTGGGAAATTTCCAAAGCTCTCCCATGTTTTCTTAAAGAAGCAATAGAGGAGCTTGAATTTAAGCAATTAATCCTATTAGGGTGACCTGAGCCCCGCCATTGCTACCAGAAAGTCTGATTTGAAGGAGTAAAAATGACAGGACCACTGATACCCTCTATGTGTGCTGGAGCTCAGCACACCAAGATGTTCAGTTGGGGTGTGTTATCAGATGGATACTAATAGGGTCTGGAAAATCTAAAAGACGTTGGCAGGTGAGTGGGCCACACTGCTCAGCTCAGGGACTGAGACTGGGATGGGCATTGGGATAGGTGTGCAGAGGGTGCCCCAGGTGAAGCTGGTCTGGGAAATTAAGGCCTGTTAGCAGTCATCTTTGCTATAGACAGGGGCTGAGCCTGCTATAGACAGGGGCATTCTTGCTGCTGCCCAGTCTTTTAGTTTTGGGGGCTTTTTACTCTAAAATAAAGAGATTTGTGATCAGTAAGTAGTACTTGAACTAAAGGAAGGCATAAATCCTAAGTTTGGGGAATTTTTAAAGCTGAATTCTGGTTAGCAGGGGTTGCAACTAAGCAACTAACTTTCAATATATAGTCTCTTTTGCCACAGACAGCTAATGTAATAATGAAATTATTACTTTTTAGGTGTGGGAAGAAAACAATATAAACAGTTATTAGGCTCCTAGGTTCATTCAGATATTCGCATTCTACTGTTTTCAAAAGTATATTCCTCTGCTGCCTACAATCTATGTATGAGCACATCTATGTAGAACAGAATTGCTACAGAGAGAAGTCAAAGTGTTTTGGCAGAGTAAGCAGAATGAGTCAGCCATCCAACCATGGATGGGTTCCGTAACAGTCGTTGTCATAATTGCATCCTATGGTTAGCTGAGAGAAACAGGATGATGCATTAAGTTCTTGTTGCAGTAGTGTTCCCTCCTGAGAGTGTTATTTTTGTGGGGAGTAGTGAAGAGATACTGGAACAGTTGGTGATGTATCTGCTGCCAAGCTTCTAAAAATTGGCTTTCAGCAGCCGTCATCAAAGTAGCTATGGGATGTTCATCCTCTAATTCTGGCTAAACTCAATAGCAACAAAGGCAGCTCTATTTTGTCTGCAGGACTATAGTTAGAAAAAGTACAGTCAGAATCACTGGATTTGGATCTAAAGGAATATAGTGCTTATTTGGATGAGTCTCCAGAAACCACAAGAAGGTGCAACAGAAAGCCACAGTTCTGTGCTGCCAGATTCTGGCATTCGGAACTGTGATAAAAATAAAGGATTGTGTCTTGCTTTATATTATGCATTCTTATGAGTTCTGCAGGCAAACATTCTTATGCAGGCAAACAAAGAGTTAGGCTTAGTTAGGAGTTAGGCACATGGAAACAAAGTCTGTGCTCTGTATCCAGCAATGTTTGTTCAGTAGTTGTGGGCATAAAGCCCACAGTAACGAATGGAAACCTTTGGTTAGGACATCTGTGGCCTACCCAAGTCATTTTAGAGAATCTGAAATTCTGCCTGAAACATCACTTGATGGTCCTATTCACATAGCATGTTAGAATCTTACTTTTCTTCATTGTATACAATCTCACAGAATGCTGGTGAAATAGGAGAAACATCCATCCCCCTTTTATTTTACCATTAAGCCAGAGGTTTTGGGACATGAATATTTGTCTCTTGACTTCAGTTCTGCCAGATGCACATCTTAGTTCTGGCTTGATGTTATTTAACTCTCTATAACAAATATATACATTTTTAATCTATAGATTTCTGTATTGGCAGATCTGAGACTCTAAATGCTATTTTCTTTGTAGGTGGCCCTTATAAATTTACTGAATTTTCACTCCGGTTCTTGTTGCCTTTGCTTTGTGTCCAAATATTCCGTTTTACATGTTTGTTTTACAATATATGGTTGATAAAGTACTATTTGAAGTAATACTAAGGTATTAATAGTCAATTATCTGGTCCCAAACACATAGAGCAGTGATTTGTTGTTGAAACAAAGTAATTCTCTTGCCTTTTCAATTCTGTTTTCGTTTTACTCTCTAATGAAGAGAACTTTGTCACAGCGTATAAAGCAACATTTACATTTACTACAATTCTGCTTCTAGCTCAAGCTCATAGACTAATGGAGCGTAGAAGCCTGGGTAAGAATTTGCTGGTAGCTTTCTTTTTCCATAAATTCAGCCTGAAGAAACGCAGAGCAGTTTAGAAGTGGCACAGCCTTTTGCTGAATATAATATAGGCTCATTTTTAGAATCAAAGAAAACTTATTAAAATATCCCAGCTGGATTCTGAAAAATGTGGGAGGGAACCAAGTGTAATGTTGCATTTTTTTGTTTATATTTGCCCTAGAATACTTTGAAGAAACATTTACAGAAGTTAATGAGAGACTTTCTCTTAGAGGCAGCAGGTATAGAGTGTCTGAAATTCTTTTGAGTCAAAATTGCTCGTTAACAGTAGGATTCTCTTTGTAATTATTTCTGACTGCATTGCATATGGATTTCATGTATGTTGTTTTATATGGACAACTTTTTATGGAGAACTTTTTAGATTTTTTTTTTTTGTATTTACTTTGTAATAAAAAGAGGTTACAGAATGTCAAACAAACAGCTAAAGCCATTTTTTAGCCCTTATTCTGTCTCTAGAAAATGGACAACATTTACATGTGAAAAGGAAGAACAGGAAGATTTTACTATCCATATTCTTATCAGATTTATAGCAAGAAATGAAACTGCAAGAACACATTTGGTTTCTCTTTTTGGAAAGAGAACAGAGCTAGAAAGACTGAGTTTGTTGTACTTCTAAATTTCACATCTTGGGGTCTGACTCTGAGCAAAGATTAGATTATTCAGTGCAGTGGCATCCCTTTTTTTAGAAACAGTGCTGATGCTGAGACTGAGTTGTAGTAACACCTATTCTTCTCATGTCCTACAGGAATGTATTTCTAAGTAGTTGTTAATTGATTATGAGTGAGGAGCAGCTTTTCCCTGGTTGGCAGGCACAGTTTCACATTACACTCAGTGCAGACTAAGTGAAACCAAAGGGAAGGGTCCCACATTTCCTCTCTGGCCCTCAGCCCAGCTGTGCTTTCCAGCAGCCTCCTTGGATCGGATGTGGCAATAGCCACGGGCAAGCTGGAAGCCTGCAGCACCTTTAATAAAACTTGCCCAAGAGCTAAATTGAATTATTAATGATTAATTAGCACCTGTGTGGCTCAGTTGCCCACATGGGGGAAGAAATGGTGAGAAAAAAGGAGATTGTTTAACTGTTATAGTTAGAAATAGAGACGAGAGTTTTGCTAAAGAAGAGCTTTGTTCAAGATGTTGATGTTCAGCCTGAGCTTATATTGTCAACCAGCCCAGACTAGCTGAATAGCTGACTAAAAATCCCAGTTTATAATGTAAACTGGAGCCATATTCTTGGTTCAGGGAAAATTGTCTGATTCTTGTTGCCTGATAAAAATGTATTTGTTGTGTAATCATGGGGTTATTTTGAAAAGTGATCTGAAGATATGAAGTGCCTATAACTTGGCTTATGGCACTGCAGGAAGAGAAATTAACTTTTTTTAGTTGGAAATTAGTATTCCTCATGCATATTACAGACACTATATTCTTATTATTTGTAATGTTATTTAAAATAAATGTTTATTAGATATGACTCCAGAGAAAGATATCAGAGATACATTTATTCATGGAACTTAGTTTCAAAGTGAACTAAGATTCATTAATATTGGGAACTATCATTAAAATAAATGGTCTGTCTTGAAAACACTATAATCTCCATTTCCTCTTCCTGTCACTCAAAAACCTGGAAATGAAAAGAGTTTTTCATAAAGATCAGAAGGTATCTGCAAACTCAGAAAGGAAAAAATACATTTAAGATAGATGTTTCATTTGTTAGACCC